AAAACGGTTACCCTAACCGATTTATTGACAGCAACATGAAACATAAGCAGTATAAACTGGTCAGTGACTCAGTTTCAAAGAAAACCTTATTCATGAACTTGGAATTCAAAGGTGATCAAGCTTCAGAAATGCTGAAAAATTGTCTGTCTTAAACAGTCGGTAAGACGTTCTTTGCAGTAAAATTACAGATGACGTTCACTAGCCGCAAATAATTCTCTACCTCTGTAAAAGATAAGCTCTCCCCCCCTCATAGCCACCTCCATGTGCATCTATCAGTTCACCTGCTCTTGTGGAGCAAGGTACATTGGCCGTAGTCAGAGGACGCTTCCACAGGGATACAAGAACTTAGTCCAGTTTGGTTTTACAAGGAGAAAAGAAGTGTGTGCTCTATTCTGAAACACCTGATCGACTCCTGTCACTCTGACCATGATTTTGAGATCATATATAGAATTCATGCTAACTTCCTGTGTTTTCTTCGTTACAGACTTCTAAAGACAGCTGAGGCCTTTGGCAATTCATGACTTTAAGCCAGACCTTTGTGTACAAAAGAGGTACGTACAATTCCTACTTCTGGCCTGGCCGTAAAGAAATAAGCATTAATTTATTTGTTTATCTAGTTATTCTATGTACCTTTCCCTTATTACTACGGTTATTATTATCATTATTATTACTATTCTCACTCTGAATCTTTTCCACTTGTCCCACTTGTCATTCTAAACCCAAAATTAATTTTTAATTTTTGAATTCTATCTTACCCATTTTCTTACCACGTTATGCAACACTTTATATTCGCCTACTAACCCTATAATTATGCACTCCTCCCGAACATCTAAACACCTTATGTATTATTCTATATATGACATTGATTGTTTTGCTACGCGATATTAAACTATGATTATAATCACAATATTTTAGCTGCATTTCATTTACTACTATTATTACTTCATGTATTCACACCTTTGACCCAATTCCCTCACCGGGTATAATTTCTCTAAAAAACACTATATATATACGATTGTACAGCTTGATAATAATAAATTCGTTGTTGAAAAGAATCTCTTACTGAATATTGTGTTCTTAATGCTGCAATAGGAATTATTAAATTATAAGTACTTTTAACAATTCTCCTTAATTAACATTAATATAAAGATAATTAATACTGATGTATAGTATAGAGATATCAGTGCCTTTGGTTCGACTCCTGTAAAAATCACTGAACTATAAGGCAAGTGAAGATCTTCAAATTATGTTACATAACCCTTAACCATCAGTTATTCTCTATCTGACATCGATTTGTGATAAACAAGTCACTGCATTCAAGTAGTCATTAACTGAATAACTGTTCTGTAGTGGACAGATTACGATATGTTCAGGAGTTTTTGATACATTTTCTTCTAATATCCTTTTTAGAATCAAATCCCTACAAACCAACACTTGAATATCAATGAGATGCTCACTGGCGACTGGCCCTATTCAGGTAGGTAGTTAGTTACCTGAGTTCCAGTGGGAAGTCGTGACCAGTAGGGTGCAGCTGGTTGGGTGTGAGGACAAATACTCGCCACTGAAGACATTGGCTAGTAGTCGTGCTATGTCGTGAATTGGCAGAAATTAGAAATCAAGGACCATTGGTTCGGGTCCCAGTGGCTTAATGGTATGCGAGCTCGCCTTGTAACCGGAAGGTCCTGGGTTCGAATCCCAGTGGGTGTGTACTTCTGAAGAGTCCCAAACTAGGCTGACAAAACAGCTGTCCAGTACTCTCTGTAGGTTTTCCAATGGTTCTCTAACTAATGTCACCTCATGATAAAATCCAGAAACCAATCAAATCCCTACAACCAACACTTGAATATCCTTTTTAGACTTGGAAAATAAATGTGATAATATCATAAAAATAATAATTATTTATTTTTGATTTCAGCTTTATTCCACACCATAATTTTTGGTACAGGTATGAAATTTTCAGCATGTGATATCGGTAGCCCAAATTTTCTAGGCCGCCCATAGATATCACGTGTGTGTCGTCTGCGGGGGATCGAACTCCGGACCATGTGCATGGTCGGGAAGAGTCCTAACCACTGTGCCACCAAAGCACAAATAATAATGTTCAAATTAGAAATAGTTTTATTTAACACGGTTATATATATATATGTATATATATACTTTAGAATGATGTGCTTTTTAATTGGTTTTCTAGTTCTGATGAAAACAGACTCGTCACGTCAACGCAAATTACTCTCATTCCTAGACGTCTTCATGGCAAGGAAAGAATATGGCACACTAAGAAGCAGTGTGTGTATAGGAAACCTACTACAACAACAGGTCAGGACACTCATTTTTTTTAGTTTTGTACCTTTGAAATATAAACTTAACCTGGTAAAGTGTCTGGTTCATAGAGCTAGGTTAATCTGTTCACACGACTACCTCGATGAGGAGCTTAAGATTATTAGAGAATTACTTAGAAAAAATGGTTATCCAGATAAATTCATGGAGAAAAATATGAATTCACCACCTAGGAGAGTCAGTGTGGCAACAGTTCCAAAAAAAATCAATGTTCATAAAACTTCAGTTCCTTGGTGACAACATCAGCGAAATTATAACACGGCGCCTGAAGAATGCAGTTAAAAAAGCTTATTATGCAGCAGGGGCACGTTGACTCTTCACAGCTACCCCTATTCTACGTTCGAGAAATATCTACCAGTTTGACTGAAGCTGCGAAGCCAGCTACATTGGGCGTACAATTAGGCAGGTTCATCACCGTATTTCCGAACATCAAACGGACAAACAAGATCTATTCGTAGCTCTATTTTAGTACACCTTGTAGATAGATAGTGAGCATAAGGTTGACTCTAGTTAATCCTGCATTTAAAATTATCTATCGCATTCCTACTAATCTTAATTTTGCTCTACGAGTTCGTCTTCTACATACAACAGCTGAAACAATAGGAATCCATCTGAAGAAGCCAGCCAAACCTGTGTGTCCAGAAGAAATTTTTACAGCCATTTTCCTTACCTTGGCCACCGTTACATGAATGTATAAACTGAACTACTTCGCCCCCTCCCCTTAAACCTTTAAAACTATAAAAGTTATAATTGTCCAAATTATTTTAAAATTTTTTCTGACCACTTCATCTTTAATTACGTGTTATTCTTGTAAAATTAAATTAATTTATTCTAACCATTTCTAACTTTTAATTGTGTGTATTGATCTTCTTCGTTAATTATTATCAACCCATTGACATTTCGATACTGACTAATTATTGTTGTGTATTGTAATAAAAATGCTATATATATTAGAGTAGAGCCAGAGATGAGGATCTAATTGAAAAGTAAATATTTCTTAGCTCAATGTTTCCATTTCATAAATTAATCAGATAGTTGAGAATCCTGTGGAAAGTTAAAATCGATCACATATAGAATCCGTATCTGGTAGTTCATGAAATTACATGGGAATTAATTATCCGTTATGATCCCCGTAACTAACAGAATTCAGTCTGCACTAAACAGAGGATGCAAAGCATGATATTAATTTATATCCAGTGACGAACCAAGGTATTCACTACAGTTTCACAGGGAGTCTCAGTCGCAAGCCCGGAAAACGCAGTGATAACGTCTTTGAATGTAACACCAGCTGACCCAGCTTCAAATTTTAGCAGGGACATAAGTTCTTTCAAGAATACAGATTCGCCTTAATGACGACTGCCAGCCAGCATGAAACCGAGGTGTAAGGCTTCCTGCCGATTGCTATTAATTGTCTAAAGACAATTCAGAGAGCACTATTTTAGTGAACCACCTAACATGGTGGATATCTTGCGAACAGGACTCAGAGAACTCATGAAGAACCAGACGCCTGATATTAGTTACTTTCTAGTGTCCGAATGAACTAAGTAGACTCAAACTAGGTTAGGTATTATAAAATCCCTCATCTAATCAAAATTCACTCCACCAAAATCTCATCCATGAATACAGAAACTTGAAGTGTCTTACACTCAGAAAAGAACCGAGAAGTTTACAAGTCTGAAAGATACAATTAGGCAGGGAGTCATAAATACATAAAGTATAGCACTAGTTACTTAAAGTCACCAAACTAAAGAATTGTATTAAACAACTAGGCTAACTTAGTTTCAAAACAGCATAATAACTCAAATTAACTCAATTACACTTTATTTTGACAATCTATCTATCTATCTATCTATCTATCTATCTATCTATCTATCTATCTATCTATCTATCTATCTATCTATCTATCTATCTATCTATCTATCTATCTATCTATCTATCTATCTATCTATCTATCTATCTATCTATCTATCTATCTATCTATCTATCTATCTATCTATCTCTATCTATCTATCTATCTACTATCTATCTATCTATCTATCTATCATCTAATCTAATCTATCTACTATCTACTATCTATCTATCTACTATCATCTAATCTATCTATCTATCTATCTATCTATCTATCTATCTATCTATCTATCTATCTATCTATCTATCTATCTATCTATCTATCTATCTATCTATCTATCTATCTATCTATCTATCTATCTATCTATCTATCTATCTATCTATCTATCTATCTATCTATCTATCTATCTATCTATCTATCTATCTATCTATCTATCTATCTATCTATCTATCTATCTATCTATCTATCTATCTATCTATCTATCTATCTATCTATCTATCTATCTATCTATCTATCTATCTATCTATCTATCTATCTATCTATCTATCTATCTATCTATCTATCTATCTATCTATCTATCTATCTATCTATCTATCTATCATTCTCTGTCCTTGATGAACAATCTCTACTCGTGCTCATGATATACTGTCGATTATTGTTTTACTCAAATATTCTGTATAGGAAGCGAGTAAAAGCTACTGTTATTAAATCTGATTAGGAACCAACCGATATATTAATACCCTATCAAACTCTCTCTCTCTCTCATCCACTGAACTTCGTCGGTAGCGTATCACAGTTGAACAAAAGTAAAAAAAACAAACTTTTTTATTAAAAAATATTTCTTTAATAAATAAAACTTAACAGCTTAAGGTATTCAGCACACAAGCTCGCACACACTCACACACACACACGATAAGATACATAACAGCATGAAGAAGATAGTTTTTAATTCACCTTTTTTTCTACTAAATACTGTTGGAATTAATTTCTTAATAATTGTCTTCTGCTAATTAATTTCTTTCTTGTTTGAATTTTTATTTCCCATCCTAATTAACCTTTTGGTGTACGCCAGAGTAAAATAATATATGGACCATATTTGAATTGAATTGATTTGAACGGTTCATGGGAGAAATTCATCCAATATGAACCACGTAAGATAACCACTTGCCAGACACGATCATATGTATCATCTAAGTATTGTTTCAGCTTATTTGAAATATCTTTAATTTCAGCATCTTTATTCTCTGTTGTATTGCCGAATAATTCACGAACACGTTCAGTAATATCGTATTCAGCTTGTTTTGATAATTTTGAGAGAATAATTTCAAAGTCACTTGAAACATTTGGTACTTTAGCTGCATTACTATCAGTACGATGAACTTTTTCGATTTGCCTTTTTAATGATGCAAGAAAAAGGAGGAGCAGACAATAATTTAAATGACTCAGGAAAATTACACAAACGATTAAATTTAATAGCGGATGGTATAAGTTGTAGAACATGCAGCGTGCGTTTAATGACTTATCATCTAAAAGATTTAGTGTATGACAGTCGAAACCATTCATATTGTTAGGTAACGTCGTCGTCTAAAAACACTGGACGATTTTTTTTTCCTTCACGTTCCCCAGTGGAACATAGGGCTTTAAGCTAGTGGCTTGAAGTTTCTGTAGCAGTGGTTATTATTTTTACAGGATGGGGTTGCTAGCCTCATACCCAACCTTTCCTCTTGACCAGCTTTTTTATTTCTGGCTAAGCGAGGTAAAGGAGTGCGTCGGTGGCCGGAGATTGAACCCCGTGCCATGTGCATAGTTGGCGAGTGTCCTAACCGCTATCCCACCGACACCGATAAATATATATATATATATATATTAAAGATGTGACTATTTGCTTTATTCTGAAACGGTACTAATGTCACAGTGTGGAGGTTTCCGCATTTTGTACACGATTGCATCCCATTTTATGGAATAAGATTAAGAGACAAACAATTATGAAGATGATAGAGGTTTGAATCTCTCAAGGAGGTTCCCTATTACAACAAGTGCTGATAAACACAAAGCCTATGTCAAAAGGCATTCAACGGAATGCCTCCAGCCCTCTAACATTAATTAAGTGAACTCGGGGAATATGAGACATGTATGATTAATTTAAGCTAGTCATTATTAAATAAATCATAGGTTTTAAACAATTTCTAACCTGCCTTAACTTTCAACTTAGGAAATAGATACTAATACCGGTAATCCAGCGTTGAATTTTCTCATTGTATACACTTTTCATTGTATCGGTGGTAGCATGAATACAATGTCACACAGAATGACTGCCAAGCCAAATCCTTTGTGTTATATGCACTATACGATATAATAGAGATGAAATCTCTAAATATAATACCACTAAATTAAGTTACAGTTTTTATTAGAAACATTTTTGGCTTTGTTGGGATATATATATGAGTTGATTGACTTAACTGAGAACATTTCATTATCTTCCTCGACAACATCTTCAGTGCTGGCTTCATAGAAGTACTTATATGACATTATTATCAGTTTGTATCGAAAAACGGGTGTTTAGCAGCATATTATTAAAGTGTTTTAGGCGTTTTGTTGACGGTCATAAGTGAATAGTAGTACTACAAGCACGTGTTCACGTCGACTAAAGACTTATGCTTTACCAGAATAATATATACATAGGTGAACTGTTACAGAATTCATGGAATCTATTTGAATAACTTACATTTCTTTCTGACTTAAACCTAGGGCACGACAAAACTCTTCCATTGAGATTTGATCATCTTTGTCAACGTCGAATTTTTCAATCCATTGCTAGAAATATAAGATGAGAAGAAAAAAGTATAGAGGAAGGATAGTATTGAGTAAAGTGATTATGTGTATAAATTATCGCAACAGTGTGAGAATTCGTTTAGACGAAGTTCGATCCTCAGAAAAAGCACGGCTAACTATAATAAACTATTGATTTTTCTTTGTCTTTATCTCTGTCGTAGAATAGTTTATATTTCAGTGGTAATTGTTATTACGATCACACTCTAGTTCTTCCCCTTAGTGTACTTTCACAATAATGTTGCTTCATTATGTACCACCATTTTTAGTTAGTCAACATTTTTCTTTCACTTTTCTGTACTACCTCTAAGTGTAGAAAAGAAAAGGTGTCATATCGATTCAAGTTTCGAATCAATCTAATTCATCATTCCATCCCTGGGGATAATTTAATAGACAATCGTGTTTGGTATTAATTATACCTTGCCGTAAGGATTAACGTTTTGACTTTTTAAAATGTGATAGACTATGCATGAAACACTTGAGAGACTTTCAAAGGTTGTCATATCAAGTTATCTGTTAAAGAGGCAAACTATGATGGCATCTTAAGATATACATCTTTCTATATCCTTTGTTTTTAAATTTAATTTCCAGATGTTAATTTTTATGAAATATATATACAAAAATACATATCTTCATCATTGATAAATGCTTCGCTATGGGCTAACACAAGGAGTGATTTCAGTGTCCAATGGCGTATGACAGTGTCACAATTTGTCTACACACTCAGTGTCATGTATATAATCTATATTATCTGCTAGTAATCTATGATAAGCGCAAACCATCTCATTCAGATAGTTATATATGTATGACAAAATCTCGTACCACAGACGTCTAGAACCTAGAACCTACACCTATGTAAAGCTGATGACATTACGCGACTTACGCGACTTAAATCTCTTCAATGCATTCTTATGTCATCAAATGAAATGATCCAATGGATCTCAAGCATTTCTAATGAATTTTCAATTCAGTTTACTTGCTAATCTTTGATGAGGATATTTATTTTTTTTTCATTTATTTATTTTTTGATTACAGCTTGATGCCACACAGTATTTTGTTTTTAGTACAAGTATGAAATTTTCAGCAATGTGATATCGGTATCCAAAATTTTGCAGGCCGACCATAGATATCGAGTGTGCGTCGGACCATGTGCATGGTCGGCGAGAATCCTAACCAGTGTGCCATCGACGCACAGAGAATTATTTTGTCTCTCTCCGTCTCAAAGCAAAGCCTCAAACAGATCTATTCAGTCTGACACTATCAGTATTGAAGTGCCAAAGGCTGAAGAGAAGTGGATCTTAGATATGAATATTTTTATTGTCTTAAGGACTACCTTGCAGATATATTTGTAGTTTATGTAAGACTCGGTAAGCCGTAAAAACAACAACAACGACAACAAGAGAAATGTAAAATACATCAAAATTAAATATTTTAAAAATAATATAACTATTTACATATAATTTCATTCAAGATTTACCTCAACAAGTTTCATATCAAGATTTTTCTTTCTACAATAATCAGTCAACTCTTCACGATCAGCGACATTATCCCCTTCAGAGCAAATACTAAGATAAGCTTTGATGAATTCTTCCAGCATTCTTCTTCTTCTTCAATCTACTCACAACAATGTCAAATACTTCGCGTATTTATGCCTCTTTGACTTCTATGAATCAGTCTCTCTATATATATATATATAGATAGATAGATAATAGAGTGTCTAACACAAAAACAATGCAGATGATTTATGTACAACTCTTCAAATTATACTCAATGAGAAAAAAGGCATATATACATATGCATATACAACATAGATATTTTTGCATATTTTCCAGGTGTTGTTATTGTGTTGTCGGGGTTGGTGTTGTTGGCGTTGTTGTTGTTGGTTAGCTTGTGAATACCTAATCAGTCGATTTGAGGTCATTTACACAAATAAACAAATAGGATTCACTTAGTGTACTTGTATGTATTTTTGTGCGAATATGTGCACTGGTATGTGCGTGTGGGTGGGTGTGCGTGATTAGTTATTCTAATGCCTACGGATAACTGGATAACAACTGCATAGATAGATAATAGAGTAAATATTTCAGATGAAATAAAGAATTTTTGATCATATCGTTAGTTAACTAATCTAATAATGTGCACACAATTATAAATGATCATATAGTCTACCTTTGGAACTCATTCAAAGTTAATTGATGACTTCATTGTACGATTGCACATAAGCAAATGTGTCAGTGTGTGTGTGTGTGCGTCTATGTACTTCTATTTTACTCACTCACGCACACAAGGATGTACGTACTCTAGCCTCAGATAAGACTTGACTTCACAATACTAAAACAAAAACAAATAAACAACACCGAAATAATCAATACTGTTAAGATATTCAGGACAGGAAGAAAAAATAAAGCACAATTTAGAAGAGACTGTCTGTTATTTGGTTGATAGTGAGACAGTAAGGCGCAGATTTTTTTGGTTTTTATCCTTTTTTTATGTTTATACTCACCATCTGGATGTGTCTTTTCATATTACTTAGCACTATCTAAGTGAAATACGGCTACAAAGCTTGAGTTTCGAAGCTGTAGTAGTTCACTGTTAAGGGTTTGAAAACATTTAGGCATTGGGTATATGATATTCATTATAATAAAGAGGGTTTTTTGTATTTCCCAATGAATGAAAAACAATGAACGACATTGTTGTTTTTAATGACGTTTCGCAAAGATGTCCACTGGACACCAGTGAAATAATTAAGAGCTTAAAATTTTGTCTACAAAGTAATTATTCTACATTTAAAGGGAGTTTATATAGATAAACAAATGGTGTTGCTATGGGTTCATCAGTCTCCCCCAATAGTTGCCAACCTTTTCATGAATATATTCGAAAATAACATCCTTTCAAGCATACTCAATCCTAAAATATGGTTAAGATATGTAGATGAAACTTTTGAAGTCCTGAAACGAGATCTGCACAATTCACTCCTGGAGAGAAAATAAACTGTGTATTTCCCAGAATCCAGTTCACTTCGGAAGAAGAATCAGACATTTTAGTATATCTATATTCAGGAAGAAAACCCACTGCAACAACAAATATTAAGACTTCAAATCATCACAACCCATCAGAGCAAAGATTTCAGTTGCTTCAAGTCTTCTTAGACAAGAACACTCTCTGATTACGGATGAGCAAGAAAAAGAAGAAGAAATATCAAACATTACTGAAACTCTCAAGCAAAACAACTACCCAAGGAACTTCATCAAAAAAATCAACACAGACATTAAGTATGGCCGAAAATGCATTCATATCAAGTGGAATCCAAACTGCCTGAGCTCAATAGGAACGATGGACTAACACAGAATGTGACCTGGTTACAACACCCTCCTCTCCTCCCCCATGAAGTGACAAAATCAACACGAATGTGATAAGCGAATTCACTATATAAACACACACTGCTTCTTTAATTTTACACACTGATTAAATCCAACAATCTACACCTGATTTTCTTATCTTTACCAATTGACCAACTTGACAATGAAAAACGACCCCAGACAGACGAACGATGATCAAGTTAGTAAACTTTATTTTGATATCATAACAGATGTAATAATACCTTTGTTATTTGGTTTAGTGATCTTCATTGTTATTTTGACTTTCAATATGTCCTCCTTTTAACTTGACCTAAGTCCATTTTCTCACCTCTTAACTCTTTGTTATATATATATATATATATATGCTGAGATTTTGTAAATTCTGGTTTAATAATACTGCTTTGATAAAGCTATTAGCATTAAACAGTCAAACGTCAGTAAAAACAGTATCGTTTGTTTTCATTCATTAGGAAATACGAAATATTACAAAAACCTTTATCATAATGACTGCAGTAGTCGTGGTGTTGTATTTTCATGAAGTGGGGGAAGGGCTAGTCTCGCTCACATCCAGCCATTTCTCTTTTCCAGATTTACTACCGGCTAAGCTAGGAATTGAACCAAGGCCATGTGCGTGGTGGTTGGTGTATATTCTGTCACTGAACCATCGACACTGGATATACGTGTAACCTAGTGATGGATAATGCTACTACAGAGACTGTCTGCTAATTAGTCTACAGGAACTCATATCTCCTTTTAGAGACTTACTACATTCGAATAATCCGAGGTATAAGCAAAACCTATCTGAAATGGACTATGGATATTTTACGAGTCCGTTAATGTCGCCCTCTTCTGTATGACTGATTCCAAGACAGATTCTTGAAACAATTGGATATTAATTAGAGAATCTATCATATGTGAAGATCATTAAACAGTTAGTTATGTCTCTTTAGGTTGGGATGTATTGATCATGTGTTCACCATTTATACTCAGTTGTTGGAACACCGTCACACGTATCACAGGCCAACGATCGTTTTGTTTCTTGATAATAGGGCTGCCTTCGATTCGTTGGACAGAACTGTGCTCTGGAACTGTCTGTTAGAGAGGGGTGAACTTGAGAAATTTGTTAACATCTTGAAAGCCCTATACAGAAACACCTCAGGTAGAGTGAGGGCATACAACCAGCTACCATCACTGTTCCCAACCAACAGTGAGGTTAGACAAGGTTGCCCAGTCTCTCCATTTCTCTTTGACTTTGCCAAAAATGATATTCTTGGAGTCAGCTCTGAAGGATGTGCGTGAAGGTGGTGTAGACCTACTACCTGGAGATAGCCTTTTCGACCTCGAGTATGCAGACGATATCGTCTAACTGTGCGATAGAATGCAGGCTGCTGAAATCGCACTTAATCAGCTGGCGATCAGTGTCTGTAAGTATGGTATGTGCCTTGCGCCGTCTAAGTGCAAACTACTGTAACAAGATTGACAGGAGCCTGTACCTGCACTCACTCTTGCGAGTGAACCCCTTGGAGTTGTTGATAAGTTTGTGTGTCTGGTTAGTTGTATGAGTGCTGGCGGAGGGGTGACGGATGAGCCGAAGGCTAGGATGGCATACGTTAACTTGACCACCTGTGGAGCCGTCACGACTTTAGCATGGCTATCAAAGGTCGGATAAACAATGCTTCGGTGTGGGCTATCCTGCTCTATGCCTGCGAAATCTGGCCTCTGCAGCTCTGCATATTCGGCGATCGCTATCTCCGCAGGATCGCTTGCGTTCGATGGCATCATCGCGTGAGTAATTCTGAGGTTCGGCGGCGTGTGTTTGAACACAGTAGAGATCACCATTCACTTAGTGTCGTCATCTGGAAACACCAGCGTTAGTGACTTGGACACATGCTGCGAATGTCATCCTAGAGGCTTCCGTACAAGTCTCTGTTCGCTAGCCAGCCCTGGAACGGGATGGAAACGGTGTGGTCAGGGGTGGTCAGTCCATGACTTGACGTCGTGGGATGAAAGATTTTTGGGCTAGATTAGCATCGGTTGGTGTGTCACGACTCCCTGGTCGGGGTCCACGAGATAGCTTGAATCGATGGCTCGAAACATTATCGGATATGGCCAAGAATCGTGATCAGTGGCGAACGTGTTGCAGTTACCTTCTTTCTTCCCTTCCCAATGATGGTTAACGATTACTGTTGGAACTGTTAAGCATGACTGTTTTCCTTCCAAATGAAGTTCTTTATCCGTTCTCTGCTTATATTTTTATCTTTGATCTATGTTCTTTTATTATTATTGTGTGGCGCATCATTCTTGGTGCCATATTGTACCAAGCTTTTTTCTATGTTTAAATAATAATAATAATTTAGGTTGGGACTCATAAATTTCGGATATCTAATACTCAGTACGGAATCGATCTCATCATCGTCAAAGTCAGATCTCTCACACGGTCATGATTAAACACTGTTCATTGGATGCAACTGATAAAATGTAGTTATTTTGAATTTTCAGTAGTCTTGTTAATTAGTTGGCTAACCATTTCTTAACCAACTTCAGACTGAAAGAGATATGAGTTTTTTCTGAAATGTTTAATTTTTATCAAAGATTTTTTTTATTTTTTTTAAAGGATCTCCATAAATTTATGATAAAAAATTTTTAAAAATATGTTCTTTTTCTTTTTAGCATTTATTGACCTTTTTTTTTGAGATGTTTTTTTTCCTTTTTAATTTTTGTTTAAAAACTGAAAACCAAGGAATCCTGGGCGTTTGTTTCGTCCCACTTCGGGACTCTTCAGTAACATAATACCTGCTGTTAGATTAATTAACTGATTGCACTAAACTGGCAATGGAAACAAATAGGGAATTATCGCATTATTATTCCTTTTTGTTCCGAGTTCAAAGTAGATCTTCAGAAGAATATCTTCCCTTCACCTTATTCTATATAGTCCTTTTCAACTGTCTCCAAGACCGTCCGTAGGCTTTCATTTCCTCCACACATGATCTCCTCCATCTCGCCGTCGGATGCTCAACAGTTTACTTCTAATTCAGGTTCCATTTGGAAGTCTGTAATGCCACTCGATGGCTTCCTTAGCATTTGTCGAATCCATTCCCCATTGCATTATTCATATATTTTTGGCGATACTTATTGATTGGTTCGTCTGCAGAGATTGTTGCTGCTTCTTCTTTTGAGCCAGCCGATCATCTGATCTTCAGTATTGGGCCAGCAGGGCCATTCGTCAATAAATCTCTGCAGTCTGTTGGAAGTACTTTTCATGACACCAAGTCTCTGAACAATTTAGAGTCCCTGATTCATAATTATTCACTATTATTACTGTTCTGTTTGTTTCCTAGAGGAACATAGGGCTTCAGCCGTACGTCTCTATTGCGTTCGGTTCTCGGCCAAGATTTTCACCTGGCTCCACGTCCGTCTACATGCTTTCATCCACTCTTCACATGACCTCCTACATATCACCCTCGTACTGATTACCAACTCGCTGCTTCCCATACGGGTTACACTCGAGCGATGGGCTGGCATTTGATGTCACTTAATGGTTTGTTTTCTCAGAGTATGACTGATCCACCTCCGTTTCTTCGTGCATATTTGTTGTACAATTGGTTCCTTGTTGGTTCGCTCCCAGAGATTCCTCACTATTGCTGGTCTTTTCTGGCCATCTGATCT